GTGTTAAAATGACACTTTTTAACACAAAGTGTTTATTATTTTGTAGGGTAGAGTAAAACCTCATTATACTGCCATCATTTGTCTAGAATATTTTGGCATTATAGAGGGGTTTGGCGATTAATTGGCGTAAACATATAAAGGAATTCTTAAGAAAAAGGGAAAATGGACCATGAAATATATTGGTGGTATAAAGTGGGTTTGCAAATTAATTGAGGGGCATTATATCAAGGTTTTACTGTAAATGTTTACCTAGATACCTTGTGTATGGAACTCTTCAGTGTTTAATACATTGTTTTGTATAAATTTTGCTTTTACTGCAAAACCTAAATACTGTGCTGATGATCTTAAAAGTTCATGTGGTGTCTCTTGACCTCCTCCCAATACCTTCTATATAATTATACATGTATCTGTCAAGTGATTATAACTATCTCCATGCTGTGAAGCTCTGTTTGCTTAATGTCTAATCAATTCTCCAACAAAATAACACCAAAACATTTCTTATTGGCGATAAATTGGCTCACTTTTTAGGAAGTGGCCGCAATTTTTTATTCATATTCTGAAAAATTTCGATAAAAACTTCTTTTATGAAGTCTGTAAAATATAAGCAAAGGTGAGGGGAAGAATAAACCATCCGCCAAAATGACAATAGTATACATATATGCAATGACAATAGTGTACATATATGCAATGACAATAATATACATATATGCAATGACAATAGTATACATATATGCAGTGACAATAGTATACATATATGCAATGACAATAGTGTACATATATGCAATGACAATAATATACATATATGCAATGACAATAGTGCATATATGCAATGACAATAGTATAAATATATGCAGTGTCTGACAAAGACTCTAGTCACTGATCTTTGAAATGTACATTCATATTATTTGATAAATTTAACCAAGTAAATACAAACAAAAACAGGGAGGGAGGGATGGGAGGGCAAGCACAAGATGTTGAAAATTCACATTAAATTGCTGTGACTGTATAATTAAAGATGGCGATTTTCTGAAATATTTTTCTTCTAAATGTTTAGCTGCAAAGTTAAACTGACCAATGAGCTTTGACCTCTGATCCATGAACCCGGATGTGGCAATCGTCTATTATGGGTCAAGGGGAGTGGCGATGAGCTGGCCTGCTCATGTAAACAAAAACACTGAATTAAAGCACAGTGTTTAATGCATTGTTTTGTATAACATATGTTAAAATTAACCTAGATATTTCAGCATCTTTAACTCATTCAACACTGGAATTTCATAACGAACTATTCCAAGCTTTGAATTGGGAGAGTTCAAATGTTCCTTCAGGGGAGAATGAGTTAATTTCCTGATCATCTAACTCAGTGCCAACAGATCTAGAGAGTCTGCGCTGTGTCAGAGTGCACCAAGTACATTTACACCTTTACAAATCAGCTTAAGTAACAACACACCATAAATTGTTACATTCCTGGTAACAATTACCTAATCAAAACAAAATTTTGGACTCATAGCTTAAAATCACATCACAAGAAGAAAAGAACATCAGTAAATACATCCACAAGAAGCATAGTAAACACATGCTAAAACCATTAGCTATAAAAGACTAGAACAATTAGCTAACACACACACTATAACCATTAGCTTACACACTCATTACAAGCTTACACACTTGTACTGTTAGCTAAACACACACACTATAACCATTTGCTAGTACATACATGTGAAAAATTAGCTGACATACACACTCGAACCATTAGCTAACACACACACTAGAACCAAAAGCTAACACGCACACTTATGAACCATTAGCTAACTAACACTCTAGAACCATTAGCTAACTAAAACACTAGAACCATTAGCTTACACACACACTACAAGCTAACACACACACTAGTACTGTTAGCTGACACACACACACTAGTACTGTAAGCTGACACACACACTTAAGTACCGTTAGCTGACACACACACTAGAACCAGTAGCTAACACACTTACGAGAACCATTAGCTAACACACACACTAGCACCAAAAGCTAACACACACATACTTAAGAACCATTAGCTGACACACACACTCTAGAACTATTAGCTAACTAACACTCTAGAACCATTACCTTAAACACACACTACAAGCTTACACACACACACACACTAGAACTGTTAGCTGACACACACACTAGAACCTAAGCTAACACACACACACACACACAAACCATTATAGTTATGACACACTAGAACCATTAGCTATCACACACATACTAGAATCATTGGCTAACACACACACACGGACGGTTAGCTGACACACACACACGGACGGTTAGCTGACACACACACACGAACCATTAGCCGACACACACATTAGAATCATTAGCTAACACACACATTAGACTCATTAGCTGACACACACATTAGAATCATTAGCTGACACACACACTAGAACCATTAGCTGACACATATTAGAACCATTAGCTGACACACACTATAACCATTAGCTGACACACACACTAGAATAATTAGCTGACACACATATTAGAATCATTAGCTGACACACATACTAGAATCATTGGCTAACACACACACACCGACGGTTAGCTGACACACACACACAGACGGTTAGCTGACACACACACTAGAACCATTAGCCGACACACACATTAGAATCATTAGCTAACACACACATTAGACTCATTAGCTGACACTCACATTAGAATCATTAGCTGACACACACTAGAACCATTAGCTGACACATATTAGAACCATTAGCTGACACACACTATAACCATTAGCTGACACACACACTAGAATAATTAGCTGACACACATATTAGAATCATTAGCTGACACACACACTAGAACCATTAGCTGACACATACTAGAACCTTTAGCTGACACACACACTATAACCATTAGCTGACACACACTATAACCATTAGCTGACACACACACTAGAATAATTAGCTGACACACACATTAGAATCATTAGCTGACACACACATTAGAATCATTAGCTGACACACACTATAACCATTAGCTAACACACACACTAGAATCATTAGCTAACACATACACTAGAACCATTAGCTAACACATACACTAGAACCATTAGCTGACACATACTATAACCATTAGCTAACACACACACTGGAATCATTAGCTAACACATGCACTACAAGCATTAGCTAACACACACACTAAAACCATTAGCTATTAAATACCAGGACAACAAGCCTCAATTAGTAATGAGATTGGCATTCATAGGAGAAAATATATGAAGATTAAAAATAAATAACTTTTAATTGTTCTCACAGTAAGCCAATTGAGGAGGATAACAGCTACTTGAACAAACAAGGCATTTTGCTTGGCAGGGATGATAGATTAACAGACAGAGGCTTGGTCAGTTGTTGGCTTGTTGGGAGAGGGGATTATCTTATCAAGTGGGAGGTATACTTAGCTGTGTGTGGTAGACTGTTGTGAGAGTGTTGGAATCAGAACTGGTACTTTCTCCTGTGATAACATCGATGAATACTTCCAAGTTATCCCTCAGAAACCATTTATACTATAGTGACCAAGTCAGGGTGCCCTATTAGCCCCACTGAGCTCCGTAGGTGTTGTTTGGTATGGGTCGTCTTACTGGCCAGCTGGTGCTCATTTAAGGATTATGTCTGTGGCATAACATACAGATTCTGTATATCCTATTCCTGACTATCTCCTGGTCCCTAGTTCCTCGTCCCTGACTACCTCCTGGTCCCTGGTCCCTGACTATCTCCTGGTCCCTAGTTCCTCGTCCCTGACTACCTCCTGGTCCCTGGTCCCTGGTCCCTGACTATCTCCTGGTCCCTGACTATTTCCTGGTCCCTGGTCCCTGACTATTTCCTGGTCCCTGGTCCCTGACTATTTCCTGGTCCCTGGTAACTGACAATCTCCTGGTCTCTGCATGGTCCCTGGTCCCTGACTACCTCCTGGTCCCTGAATATCTCCTGGTCCTGGTCCCTAACAATCTGCAGGTGCCTGGTCCCTGACTATCTCCTGGTCACTGGTCCCTAGTTCTTAGTCCCTCACTATCTCCTGGTCACTGGTCCCTAGTTCCTAGTCCCAGACTACCTCCTGGTCACTGGTCCCTAGTTCTTAGTCCCTGACTAACTCCTGGTCCCAGGTCCTTAGTTCCTGGTCTTACACATATACAACTAAAGGACTGGACTAGACAGACTATTATCATACTGTATATCAATAATGTGTTACACTATAAAGTGCCCTTTATAAAGTTGATAAAATCACTTATTCAAGCTGGATAGGACAATGGTATGATTACTGTAATAGCTCAGTGTGTTAGTATGTACGGTGGTGACAGATGCTGTTAAGAACAGATTATTGATGAAATATTGAAGGAAAGTGTCAGGTGTGGATACCAGGACAAACACCTGTAGGCCACCTTTTACACAGACACCGACTGTCACCAAAGACACAAGGAAATGAAGAATCAGAATCAGACATCAGGGGAGGAAACAAAACCTGTGGCCTAGAACTGAGACTTTAGTACAGAACATTAGCTGCCTGATGGTGCAGTGAGAGGGCCTGAAGTCCATCATCTATACCACCACCACCACCACCACTACCACCTGTAGCTCAGCTCTATCTGACAGCAGCCTCCAGGGTGTGTTCACAGCAGTGAAAATCCTAATGTTAAAACAGAATTAGGGAGCAAACAATGTGTGAGAGATTTTAATTAGTGGATTTTATAGGTCAGGGGTTGCTCATTATTGCACCTGAACAAAGAGAACACTGGGTGCAGATCCTCTAACAGTAACCAGGCCTCTGGACTCTGTATTACTCTCCCTAATGGAACCTATCGAGGTGCAGTGATTTGATAGGTGTGCTTTACCCAGGCAGTCTGGAGCTGTACATGCAGATGATTAGAGGATTAGGAGGAACTGAGGAGGTCTATAGATGAGAGAGAGGAAGATAATGTTTAGGACGACAATAGACACTGTGATGAAGAACCACATGTAGATAGGTGGTGTTACAGGGTATAACAATCCTACCCTATCTCCAGGGAGTCGAGGAGTTGACTTCTTAACACTGCAACACAAGCCCAGTCTCTGGACAACAGACTGTGAAACATGTTTGTATAGGTCTAAAGACTGTCCATTAATGTGGTGATATTCCTGTGTCAAACCCGTTACATCTCCAGCTATCAATGGATAGCCTGATTTTATATGGCTGAGTGTACAGAATATATTGGTAAACCTGATTCTGACGATGAAACCTGAAATCCCATGTTTGAACATTGCTACAGTGTGTAACAGCATCTGTTGAAGTGTCTGTCAGTTGTCCAACTGTGGGTATTGCTTGTGTGTGCTACTGGGTGACTGCTGCCACAATAGACATGTCCTACCACCAGCACAGCCGCCGAGTGTCGCCGAGTGTCGTGTAAAGTGGTGATTACTATGTAGCGACCTGTCACACCAGTTGGCTGGATGATCACACGTGTACAGAATACAAAAATCTTCAGGTCTATCCAGCTCACGTAAAACAATCAGGGGACAGTCGTACGCTGGATTTCTGTCACACAATTCCTGTGTCATCCCCATTATCATTGTACCATATGTCAGCATCCAGCGCAATAATTGTGATGTAGCATTCGTTGTGTGACTGATGTTTGTGATGTAACATGCGTCGAGTGACCATGACGTTTGTTACATGATGTTAAGAATTGTGATGTTAAAATCTGTGCTGTGTGCATAGCGTGGACATGTGCATGTTTTCAACATGACAACTTAATTGTCCTTTGATGACACAGATTTACTCATGTTTTGAAATACGGATTAGTTGTGTCGTAAAGACCAATAAAGGGAAGTGAAGCAAGTGTTACTTCTTTATATGTGGATCTTAAGATGAGACGCCAGGATACTACCTCAAGCTCTGCTTCCTTCAAGGTATGGCCCATAAGTGTTTGTTACATCATATCAAAGAGTTATGTAATTATGTAGGTGTTTGTTGATAATTTCAAAAAGTTGTGGCGTCAAGAATTTAACTGACATATCTAGGTGTTTGTTACATCAAATTAAACAAGAATGTCAACTAGTATATATATAGTTTGTTACCTCAAAGTTGCAAGTTATATAAAAGTATTTATTATATCAAATTTGACAGTTACATCAAGGTGTTTATTATATCAAATTTGACAGTTACATCAAGGTGTTTATTATATCAAATTTGCCAGTTACATCAAGGTTGTTTGTTACATCAAATTTGACAGTTATATCAAGGTGTTTATTATATCAAATTTGACAGTTACATCAAGGTGTTTATTATATCAAATTTGCCAGTTACATCAAGGTTGTTTATTATATCAAATTTGACAGTTATATCAAGGTGTTTATTATATCAAATTTGACAGTTACATCAAGGTGTTTATTATATCAAATTTGCCAGTTACATCAAGGTTGTTTATTATATCAAATTTGACAGTTATATCAAGGTGTTTATTATATCAAATTTGACAGTTACATCAAGGTGTTTATTATATCAAATTTGCCAGTTACATCAAGGTTGTTTATTATATCAAATTGACAGTTACATCCGGTTGTTTCTTATATCAAATTTGACAGTTACATCCAGGTATTTATTATATCAAATTTGACAGTTATATAAAAGTATTTATTATATCAAATTTGACAGTTATATAAAAGTGTTTATTATATCAAATTTGCCAGTTACATCCGGTTGTTTATTATATCAAATTTGACAGTTACATCCAGGTATTTATTATATCAAATTTGACAGTTATATAAAAGTATTTATTATATCAAATTTGACAGTTATATAAAAGTGTTTATTATATCAAATTTGCCAGTTACATCCGGTTGTTTATTATATCAAATTTGACAGTTACATCCAGGTATTTATTATATCAAATTTGACAGTTATATAAAAGTATTTATTATATCAAATTTGACAGTTACATCAAGGTGTTTATTATATCAAATTTGCCAGTTACATCAAGGTTGTTTGTTACATCAAATTTGACAGTTATATCAAGGTGTTTATTATATCAAATTTGACAGTTACATCAAGGTGTTTATTATATCAAATTTGCCAGTTACATCAAGGTTGTTTATTATATCAAATTGACAGTTACATCCGGTTGTTTCTTATATCAAATTTGACAGTTACATCCAGGTATTTATTATATCAAATTTGACAGTTATATAAAAGTATTTATTATATCAAATTTGACAGTTATATAAAAGTGTTTATTATATCAAATTTGCCAGTTACATCCGGTTGTTTATTATATCAAATTTGACAGTTACATCCAGGTATTTATTATATCAAATTTGACAGTTATATAAAAGTATTTATTATATCAAATTTGACAGTTATATAAAAGTGTTTATTATATCAAATTTGCCAGTTACATCCGGTTGTTTATTATATCAAATTTGACAGTTACATCCAGGTATTTATTATATCAAATTTGACAGTTATATAAAAGTATTTATTATATCAAATTTGACAGTTACATCAAGGTGTTTATTATATCAAATTTGCCAGTTACATCAAGGTGTTTATTATATCAAATTTGCCAGTTACATCAAGGTTGTTTGTTACATCAAATTTGACAGTTATATCAAGGTGTTTATTATATCAAATTTGACAGTTACATCAAGGTGTTTATTATATCAAATTTGCCAGTTACATCAAGGTTGTTTATTATATCAAATTGACAGTTACATCCGGTTGTTTATTATATCAAATTTGACAGTTACATCCAGGTATTTATTATATCAAATTTGACAGTTATATAAAAGTATTTATTATATCAAATTTGACAGTTATATAAAAGTGTTTATTATATCAAATTTGCCAGTTACATCCGGTTGTTTATTATATCAAATTTGACAGTTACATCCAGGTATTTATTATATCAAATTTGACAGTTATATAAAAGTATTTATTATATCAAATTTGACAGTTATATAAAAGTGTTTATTATATCAAATTTGCCAGTTACATCCGGTTGTTTATTATATCAAATTTGACAGTTACATCCAGGTATTTATTATATCAAATTTGACAGTTATATAAAAGTATTTATTATATCAAATTTGACAGTTACATCAAAGTGTTTATTATATCAAATTTGCCAGTTACATCCGGTTGTTTATTATATCAAATTTGACAGTTACATCCAGGTATTTATTATATCAAATTTGACAGTTATATAAAAGTATTTATTATATCAAATTTGACAGTTACATCAAGGTGTTTATTATATATCAAATTTGCCAGTTACATCAAGGTGTTTATTATATCAAATTTGCCAGTTACATCAAGGTTGTTTGTTACATCAAATTTGACAGTTATATCAAGGTGTTTATTATATCAAATTTGACAGTTACATCAAGGTGTTTATTATATCAAATTTGCCAGTTACATCAAGGTTGTTTATTATATCAAATTGACAGTTACATCCGGTTGTTTATTATATCAAATTTGACAGTTACATCCAGGTATTTATTATATCAAATTTGACAGTTATATAAAAGTATTTATTATATCAAATTTGACAGTTATATAAAAGTGTTTATTATATCAAATTTGACAGTTATATCAAGGTGTTTATCAAATAAGATTTGACAATTATATCAAGGTGTTTATTATATCAAATTTGACAGTTATATCAAGGTGTTTATTATATCAAATTTGACAGTTATATCAAAGTGTTTATCAAATAAGATTTGACAAGTATATCAAGGTGTTATCAAATTTGACAGTTATATCAAGGTGTTTATCAAATCAAATTTGACAGTTATATCAAGGTGTTTATTATATCAAATTTTACAGTTACATCAAGGTGTTTGTTATATCAAATTTGCCAGTTACATCAAGGCGTTTATTATATCAAATTTGCCAGTTACATCAAGGTGTTTATTATATCAAATTTGCCAGATACATCAAGGTGTTTATTATATCAAATTTGACAGTTACATCAAGGTGTTTATTATATAAAATTTGACAGTTATATGAAGGTGTTTATTATATCAAATTTGCCAGTTATATCAAGGTGTTTATTATATCAAATTTGCCAGTTACATCAAGGTGTTTATTATATCAAATTTGACAGTTACATCAAGGTGTTTATTATATCAAATTTGACAGTTATATGAAGGTGTTTATTATATCAAATTTGCCAGTTATATCAAGGTGTTTATTATATCAAATTTGACAGTTACATCAAGGTGTTTATTATATCAAATTTGACAGTTATATCAAGGTGTTTATCAAATAAGATTTGACAATTATATCAAGGTGTTATCAAATTTGACAGTTATATCAAGTTGTTTATTATATCAAATTTGACAGTTATATCAAGGTGTTTATCAAATAAGATTTGACAATTATATCAAGGTGTTATCAAATTTGACAGTTATATCAAGGTGTTTATCAAATCAAATTTGACAGTTACATCAAGGTGTTTATTATATCAAATTTGCCAGTTATATCAAGATGTTTATTAAATCAAATTTGCCAGTTATATCAAGGTGTTTATCAAATAAGATTTGACAGTTATATCAAGGTGTTAATTATATCAAAATTGCCAGTTATATCAAGGTGTTTATTATATCAAATTTGACAGTTATATCAAGGTGTTTATTATATCAAATTTTACAGTTGCATCAAGGTGTTTAATATAATAAACTTGACAGTATAACAAATCTGACAAGTTTGTCAAAGTGCTTGTTACATCAAATCTGACAAGTTTGTCGAAGTGTTTGTTACATCAAATCTGACAAGTTTGTCGAAGTGTTTGTTACTTCAAATCTGACAAGTTTGTCAAAGTGCTTGTTACATCGAATCTGACAAGTTTGTCAAAGTGCTTGTTACATCAAATCTGACAAGTTTGTCAAAATGTTTGATACTTCAAATCTGACAAGTTTGTCGAAGTGCTTGTTACATCAGTTGTTTTTGTTCACCTTTCTATTTTACTTGGAGTTTGTGTACTTATTTCCCTGTTGTTTTAATTATTTCATTTTGGATACGCCTACTTATTTACCTGCTGTTAGTTATACCTAGCTGTAACTTGCATACCTATTTACCCTTTGTTAAATTTACATGGGATTTGTCTAATTTTACCTGGCACTTGTTACTTATTTACCTGGGACTTGTTAAGTCATACACTATTCATGGCATATATTCAGGTGTCATCTGATGTTGTTGCTGCTGATGCACACAATTACACTGGAATCAATAGCTGCCCTGTCTGTACCCTTGGGACCGTTTACATCGGGTGACGGAAAACGATGCCATTATCAAAATCAATATATAGTAAAAGTTATCATTGTTATTGTCAAATACTTGGTTGACATTATTTCTGTTGGTCTGGGGCTGTTTCTTTAAAGCCAACAAGGCTTGTAGCATGCTGCTCACTAATTTGATGATGAAAGAGAGTCAGGTGACATTTCTCATTTGGTGGCTAACCATCAATCTGGGATTGGCCATGTTTGCTCACAGAAATCCATAGGCACTTGACCATATTCTGTGATGAACATGTATTATAGACCTGAATGTTGATGAGGAGGCTGCAGAGACCTTACTACATCATCGTGATAGATTTACTGGAACTGATTATCGGAACTGATTATCGGAACTGATTATCAATCAGTGCTTCCAACAGCGGTTGGGTCAATCGTACATACTGAACCTGACCTTGTGGCCTAAGACTTGACTATTTGTCCAGTTGACAAAATACTTGACTGTGTATTCAAGTGACAGCAGACTTGACTGTGTATCCAGGTAACAACAGACTTGACTGTGTATCCAGGTGACAACAGACTTGACTGTGTATCCAGGTGACAACAGACTTGACCGTGTGTTCAGGTAACAACAGACTTGACCATGTGTCCAGGTGACAACAGACATGACCATGAGT